CACAACACTACACTGACTCGAGGTTCCTACACTACACTCACACTGTCAGGGTTCCACAACTACCTGACTCAGGGGTTCCACAACACTACACTGACTCGAGGGTTCCACAACAATACACTGACTCTTGAGGTTCCACAGTTGTACAGCGACTCATGGAAATAATTATTTTTTTAAGTTCCTCGTTGTTGTCATTATCATAGTAACGAACACACACAACTTTGCTAGTTTTCCTAATCCCAGAAAATTACAATAAATCAGTAATGCTAAAAGTATAACGTAGTTTGTATTAGACGATGATGAGGATGATAATCTTAACGTATACGATCTGGTGTATAACCTTAAGAGTGGGTATGATAAATAAATCAGGTTAGACTAAATACAATACCAATGATACAACTGAAAGAGGTGAGATAGACAAGAGTAAACAGTCAGACATACGCACTAGTATGTGATTAAATAGACAAACCGACTAAGACAATTAATCTGACATAGAGATACGAAGGAAATATTTCAGTTTGTATTTTAATTAGAATGTCATCGCAGACGTCAGCAATGTTTAACGAACAGTAAAGTCACCTCTAAAACAAACACAGAAAACGAACTTTTAATAAACATAGAAAACGTATTTTTATTAGATAGAAACCATAAAAAACTGGATACCTTATATTTTTATAGCATTTTAATAAAATTGTGTTCCCACATTGGTTTCTTAACACAAACCTTGTGACCTGTTTGAATTGTTGAGTGCCAGTCAGCCATATTAGGTCACATACGAAAATAGAATGACCTACAATTGGTGCGTTTTTGAGGTAACAACAACAACGATGATGACAACAATAATGATAACGCCCTCACCTCTCTCTCTCTCTCTCTCTCTCTCTCTCTCTCTCTCTCTCTCTCTCTCTCTCTGCACAAACAAAGTCGCCAGTTATGTTGAGTTTAGTGTCATCATCACCATAACAAGTGTACCAACATGGCGGCGCCTCACGTACCGGAAGTGACCTCATTCATACACCTGGACACTTGATTGGCCAACGACAGTAATGAATTCTGGCGACGGGGACAGAATCAACCTGACCTCGTTTATATCATGGTTGTATTGGCTGTATCCTGTGTCTGTATCCTGTGGCTGTATCTTGTGGCTGTATCCTGTGTCTGTATCCTGTGGCTGTATCCTGTGGCTGTATCTTGTGGCTGTATCCTGTGTCTGTATCCTGTGGCTGTATCTTGTGGCTGTATCCTGTGTCTGTATCCTGTTTCTGCATCCTGTGGCAATCCTGTGTCTGTACCTTGTGGCTGTACCCTGTGTCTACCTTGTGGCTGTGTTTGTATCCTGTGGCTGTATCCTGTGTTTGTATCCTGTGGCTGTATCCTGTGGTTGTATCCAGTGGCTGTACCATGTGGCTGTACCCCGAGTTTGTATCCTGTGGCTGTATCCTGTGGTTGTATCCAGTGGCTGTACCATGTGGCTGTACCCTGTGGCTGTACCCTGTGTTTATATCATGTGGTTGTAGACTACTCTGTATTCTGAGGCTGTATTTTATGTCTGTATCATGTTGCTATATCCTATGAATGTATTGAGGGGTATATCCTTTTGTTATATCCTATCTGTGCCCTGTGGCTGTATCCTGTTTTTGTATCCTGTGACTATTCTGTGGCTATATATTTGTGTAATAGCTTGGCTGGAGAGAGAGAGAGAGAGAGAGAGAGAGAGAGAGAGGGCGAGAGAGTGAGAGAGAGAGAGCGAGAGAGAGAGGGAGAGAGGCAGTATAATATAACACGGTATAATCAGGCCAGGATATGATCGGCTGTCGTGTATACAGTAAATTCATCATAGAAAACTGAGAAATCCGGCGGGAATTTTTTGCGGGAATTTTTTACGGCTGACTCAACAAGTGATCGCCGAGTAGCAGACTGTTTTATTTCTTAGTCGGCATATTCATTCATTCTCTCTCTCTCTCTCTCTCTCTCTCTCTCTCTCTCTCTCTCTCTCTCTCCTGTTGGCTTGGTTGGCTTTTCCTTTGTCACTTTCCCTATCTTTGCTTGTTGTTATCTTAATAATTACTATCTTTGGATCACCTGAAGAATAGACTCCTCACAAGTAGCGTCAGGGTGATTCAATCTCAGGTGGGTTAAACTCAGGTGAGAACTGAACTAGGAGAGGGGTGACTCTTCAGGTGACCTTCAGATGTCTTTCAGAATCCTTAAGTAGTTGTTAATGAACCAAATAATATCTTTCCTATTATTTTCATGACTGCCAGCTATTCAAACTGTGCTTGAAGACCTCACCTTCTCCAACAACAAGATTATTAAATAGTTAACAGGTGAGTCACTCTATACCCGCCTACGTCACACCTGCCGCCCTCGTTTGATAAGAATTTAGGTGTTATCGCAGCTTCCGGGCTGGATATGTGTGGGCAAATTCAACCTCCATTGTTCCCTTGCCTCCCTCACACGTCTCCGCCACTATAAAGATCCGGGTTCAAATCACTAAAGTTCACGTGGTAATTCATTTCTGGTTTCGGTTCTTCCTGGGTTCGTCTGTTATCGCATTTTGTAATAGGTTCGGGCTTGGGTTCGTCTGTTATAGTATTTTGTAATAGGTTCGGGCTTGGGTTCGTATGTTATCGTATTTTGTAATAGGTTCGGGCTTGGGTTCGTCTGTTATCGTATTTTGTAATAGGTTCGGGCTTGGGTTCGTCTGTTATAGTATTTTGTAATAGGTTCGGGCTTGGGTTCGTCTGTTATCGTATTTTGTAATAGGTTCGGGCTTGGGTTCGTCTGTTATAGTATTTTGTAATAGGTTCGGGCTTGGGTTCGTCTGTTATCGTATTCTGTAATAGGTTCGGGCTTGGGTTCGTATGTTATCGTATTTTGTAATAGGTTCGGGCTTGGGTTCGTCTGTTATAGTATTTTGTAATAGGTTCGGTCTTGGGTTCGTCTGTTATAGTATTTTGTAATAGGTTCGGGCTTGGGTTCGTCTGTTATAGTATTTTGTAATAGGTTCGGGCTTGGGTTCGTCTGTTATCGTATTTTGTAATAGGTTCGGGCTTGGGTTCGTATGTTATCGTATTTTGTAATAGGTTCGGGCTTGGGTTCGTATGTTATTGTGATATGGGTTCGGGCTCGTATGTATTAACTACAAACGTAACACCCTCCTTATTTATTATTGTTATTATCTTTATTATGACTATTACGGAATGTAGAGTATTACAATTATTCCGTTTAATATATTCTTATGTCCTTTAATACAACTAGTCATATAGACATTCAGAAGAGGCCTACACTATAAGGTAATTGACCCCTGGAATGTGTGTAAGCCTATTAGATATCGATTGCTGGGAGAAATATATAGGCCTACTGTATCCCTATGATTTCCAGTCACTGTGTATTAGAATGGGGAGATTTTTTGTTTTTTGTTTTACTCGTAACAAAAGAAAGTTTGTAGTTACTATAGTCTTAGGTTAGTTTTGAGGCCAATTTGTTTGTGATCATTGTGGAGTACTTTCAATAAGTTGTGATATGATATTATATATACACGTCTTTACAACACAAACACACACACACACACACACACACACACCCTGGAAATGCCATCCCTCAGTGACCTCCACCACCAAGCACTGGAAAGGTTTGGCAGCCAACTAATGCACCACCCTCGTCATCGCCACCTTCTGCCACCTGCAGTCCCCCACCCACCTCGCGCAGTCCGCCACTACAACAAAATTCAGCCCATAAGAGCCCGCACCGATAGATATAAGAACAGCACCATCCCATCTATTGTTAAAATAATAAACAACTCCTGATTTATGTACTGTACAGCCCTGTAAATGTATTCAATGCATATTACATCATTATGTATAAATCAAATGTAAGTCTGTATATTTTCAGCCATCGGCTGCAACTCTATTAATAAACCGTTTATTATTATTATTATTATTATTATTATTATTATTATTATTATTATTATTATTATTATTATTATTATTATTATTATTATTATTATTATTATTATTATTATTATTATTATTATTATTTCACACACACACACACACACACAACAGCATCAAGCTTAGTCATCTATGGACCCACGAACCACCCCCTTAATTATACCTGTACAAGTTATTGATTATATCAACACACTTGTATACGTGAGTTGGCCGAGTGTTAATGATTAAACACCCAGCATACTTCACCTCAAGTTTAACCACCCTAATCACTTGAGGAGGTTAGGTTGGGTTAACTGGCTCAGCCCTGTCAATATTGTCATTATTTTCCACTCTGTATTTGCCATTTTCTGGCTAAATAAACTTTTAATATCAATATCAATTCAATAAAAGACTAGGGTAGGTTAGGTGATGTAAGGCAGCAATTACAAAATAATGCTAAACAAATTAGCCGAAATAAAGGTCTACTAAAATAATTATTATTATTATTAGGACTGTTGTGTTGGCCTACTTATTGTGACCAGTCTTGTCTAATCCACACTAACGCAGCTTATGTCAGACTCTCGGTAACTATTGTTGATAGCATCACACACAGTGTGTGTGTGTGTGTGTGTGTAAAATATAACATATTATCATACTTGACGCCATAAAACTATAACACAAAAACACTATGTACACATGATCAACCCCCACCTCCCCCTCCTCTACCTCCCCCTCCACCCCTCACCATCTCTCCTCTCCACCCTCTCACCCGCACCACCATCATCTGCAACCTGAATGTTCATACTATGAGGGCGCAGTTGACAATGTGGCTCTCTTTATTCCTATGCACTCTGTTCTAAACATCCTGTAATAGCTAAGCAGTAATACTTTTACTTTAAATGAGGGTATGATGCGTGACCAGTGATCATGTTCAATAAAACAGGAAGGCGTTTTATAAAGTGTTGTCGGTGAGCGCGTTGGTAACTGTTGTGTTCGAGATACCGGAGTAAGGGAAGGAGGGGGGAGATGGAGGGTAGGTGGAAACAGTCATTGTACGGGTTTGAGGTCGGAGGGAATCTGTAACTCGCACTCAGTCACCTGTCACACTCAGAGAGGTAGTGAGCACCCTGTAAGGTTACACTCACCCTCCTGTCACCAGTTTCATCAGTCACTACCGTGTCACTGTCACGTTAGGAGCGTCCACTTTTACACTGACCTGTGGTAGGAGGTGATTTAAAATTAGCGACAAGTTTTTGGTGTACATCCCTACGTATACTATATACTGTACTGTACTAGTAAATGAATTGGTTGAATCGTACCTCGAGTGAGTCTTGTCCTAAACTAGAGTCGAGTTATTTTTGTAAATATGAGAATTTAGAAGAATGAACGGCGATTTTATTTAAACTAAAGTCTCCTTTGAAGGGACAATTTCATATTTAAAATCAAACGTCTGACAGGAGGATATTACACCGGTGCGTTTTTAAAATTAAAGAGTAGAATATACCACAAGGTGCGAGAAGTATTAGCAGCGGGGAAATATTACACAAGAAAAGACTTTTCTCGATAAGATTATTCGTGTTTACCATAAGACTGAGGCCGTGTGTGGAGGTATTAAGAGAACATGACCCAGCCACCCACAGCTGCTTCCCGGACCACTACTGAGATCTATTACTTGATAGACGTTTTTGTGATGTTCCTCCTCACCCTGGCTGGAGGTGCCGGTGCCTGGGGAGGACCTCTGGCAGACGGGGAAACAGAGAGACTCGTCACTGGCCAACAACACACTACACCACTGCCACGGGCTGCCAGGATCCTCTCTGGTAGGTCGCCATAACTTTTTTTTAACCTTTTTCCTCCAGTGTCTTGCTGCTCCTGTTGTCCTGGCAGTCGTAAAATCTAAAACTACATGACTGTACTTATTTTTTCTTTTATTATTATTGTTCTTAATATCTGTTGCAGTCTCCATGCCGCTACTCTATTATGTTCATACTTCCTCAGGAGTGTGATGTATACCATGCCCTTAAGAGAAAGGCTTTGTTCACACTCACACCTTACAGGCCGCGGTTCATCTTACGGATCCGTACAACTGCTTCCCCGGGCTAACTGACGGACAGTGGTTAACGTTATGACCAATCTTGTTAAATTTTCTCAGGCGGTGGCTGAGAAATGAATGATTCTCGACTCTCGAGAAACATATCCTGAGCTCCTGGAAAGAGGTAGAACGTGCAACACAACGTCTAGATTATTCCGGAACTAACTACTCTCCAAACAATACATAATAGGACAGATCTTACAGACACATTCAAAATATCGAAAGGGATGGAAAACGTGAACCTGGGCCACATTTTGATATCATGTACCACCAACACAAAGGGTTATAACCTCAGATTCACCGTCGAGTTATCATGCAGGACAAATATAAAGAAATACTGCTTCACACACAGGTTGGTAGATCTATGGAACGGTCTATAGTAACGCCTCAAACTCTGGAAACGAGAACAGTAGCCAACTGGGCTTCAAATTAACCCAGGAAAATACTGTCAAGGACACTCGAGGGATCCTACAGAGACTTGTGCCCGGCTGGACTAATTCCCGCAAAAAAAAATCGATCGTCTCTAGTTTGGCCATCACGAGACAACGTGTTGATGTTTGGTTGTGGCCCCAATGGTCCCCCTGCAAGGGCGGATCCAGGGGGTCCTGGGAAGCCGAACTCCCCCTTTTCACCATAAAATTTCAATATTTTTTCTTTAATGCATTATTTTACCCAGGCGTTTTTTGTATAATAAAAAATATTTACTATTGACTTCAGATTCTGAATATCTCCTAATATCAAGTGCACATGGCTTCAAAATGGCCTCAAAATGCCAGTGAAATTGGTGAGATTTAAATAAAAACTAAGGGGGGGTTCCCCCCCAAAAAATAGCTGGTTGGGCTCGCTGCACTCGCCATGTTCCCCCACCCATAACTTCTTTTGATATTCCTGGATCCGCCCTCGCCCTGTGACCTGCCTGTACAGTTATCTTGGGAAAAATAACCTTACAGATCCATATGATCAGGCATGGTGATATACTAATAAGTCTTATTGATAATGGTAACTAGTACAGTGGTGAATAGCGACTTTGTGCTTTATATGAGTCGACTCAAGGCACTCTATACTTCTTGGTCTGGTGTGTGGTGACAGGTGTGGGCGTGAGAGACACCCCCGTCGGGGAGGTTCAGCGTGTTGACCTGCCCACCAGCCTCGGCCTCATCGCCGGAATGCAGGAGTTCACAGATCAGCCTACCAGCAGGCCCTTCTACGCCTTTAGGTAGGTTATATCTTGCCATCAGCCTGCAGGACCTTCTGGCTTCGGCTGATATTCCTGCTTCCTGCAAAGAGCTGTACGTATAATTGTATATAATTCTTTATACTAAGTATTAGAATATTTAGTTGTATACAGTATAACCTTATAATTCTAGTTATTTGGACAAGCTAGCAAAGTAAGTGTTTAAATACAGGTATGCTGTGAAATGACTAGAATAATTAGAGAACTTATCTGGCGGGAAGTGGATATTTATGTCTTCTAACTACGTTCGTATTTAATACTAAATTTAATAAAAACTCACTTCGTAATTAAATATTAAGTTTACCGAATAAAACATAATTATAATTTAAATTTATAGTTTAGAAGAGACCAGCTTCAACCTTCAAGAAATAAAGATGCACCGAACCTGCGTCAAGGAAAACCTGCAACCACTAGGTGTTCTAGTAACTCCTATTAACAAAGATACATCAATTTAGTTTATATTAATTGTGTATTTCCAGGCTTGGAAGTCATCATGACACAACTCTCTCCATAAAGCCCTCGAGGTCCACATGACCTTTGTCTCTACCATCTATAAGCTGAGGAACACTTATACAGCACTTGTTATATCTTACAGCTTTATCTAGGCTGTCTAAACCCGACATTGTTGTCACCGGTGCTAATATGCAGGTGCAATTCGGTTGGGACAATGTTTTGGCCAATACATCTCATGATAGTATAAGTAGACACAGGTTATAACATGCATTAAGAGTTCCTATGACAGCATCAGATGCCATAAATGGTTAATAACAAGTCTAAATTTTATGATACCTTTGTGATACAATTATACCAGGATATGCAATTAAATTAGTGCATAGACTAATCCCATTATCTAATATACTAAGGGACTAGGCGTGTGTGTGTGTGTGCGCGTGTGTGTGTGTCTGTTCTGGGCAGCCGAAACGGCACAATCGTTTTTCATCAAACTTGGTGGAAAAATCGTAAACAATTCGTGGAGTGGAACAAACTTGGTCCCATGTCGATGGTTTCTTTAGGAAGGCACTAGTTAACAATTTTATTTACGATGGAAAACGATGCAAGTCTACGGACTTGGAGCACCCTAATTAACCATGCAAGTCTATGGACTTGGCACACCCTCATTCGCTGTACGCTGTCACGAGCGTTCAAACTCTCCCGAGGGCACGAACATGCCCGCGATCGCTTGTATTAACCAAACAGCAATCAGGATTTTGATATTGTAGCTGTGGTATTTTAGTAGCTGTGATGGAGTAGGGTCTCTTATTCTTACTTTTACGTATTACCATAAAATTTGCAGTCCTACCACCAATGTGTATGCATATAGTAATTATCATGATTCTAAAATTCCCGACACATGTTGTGAAGGTAGAGATGCATGGTGCATTGGGTTTCCTTATAAAATGCAACTGACTTGACAGAAAAAAATATAACTTGCATTGTTGGAATCCTTGCAAGACGGAGATTAATTTGAGTAAAACAACCCATAGTTTGCACTAGAGATTTTTTTTCCGACAATTGGATATCGATGGTTATTTGATGGATATCGTTAAAGCGAGTTGTTTTGATCGTATATAACCATCGTTAAAGTGAAATATCGCATCTCGGGATATTGTATCTTGGGGGTTACCTGTATATATTACAGGCATAATATACAATGTTGGAGATAGAACACCGCCTTGTCTTATTCCCTGTCTAAGTGTAAACCAATTAATAAGTCCATTATTTACTGACAATGCAGCCTCCTGTAGCCAGTAAAGATGTCCCTCGTTAAACAGTGGGGTTAGGCTCCTGAAAAACCCACCGTTAGATGAATTATCGTAGATAGGGGAGCATTATAACATGGGGCTCGATGGGACACGTTCCCAGTCAGTCCCCAAACACACATGGATCACCAACAAAATATCCTACAATACTACTATTAGTACGAAACAATTCCTACAATGCTACTATCAGAAGAAAACAACTCCTACAATACTAATATCAGTACAAAACAATTCAACAACACTCGCCACATCTTGAAGAATATGCCTGGTCATCATCACATGTCCCCTTCGAGGCTCAAGGGACTCTTGTAGGTGGAGTGGAGACGTCACTCTGACTCCCACACAGCCTCTAGGAGTCTAGGGAGTCTCGTGCTGCTTAACAATGTCAAGCTTCACCTCAGAGACACGGTTGTGTCGGATGCCTTGGCCTCGCCAGACATTTACAAAGTTACACTGCTCACTTCAGTCACAAAAACAGAGCAAATGATAACAACAAATACAATGATAGCGGCTGACACTGCTCATGTTTTCAAAACAAGAGTCGACGCACCATACAGCTCATAAAAACACAGAAAATATCACTTCACAGTCACCATAACACAGTTCATTCTAAATGTTAGTGCTGTCCTCTCACTACAGTATATAAGTAAAAAAACATCGATGATAAGTACAATGTACACTACGATGCTGGTCGATAATAATCGTGGAGCCAGGTGATGGCAGGTTTAAGATTGACAAAGAACCAAACACAGGGCTGTAGTGCGCAGGTTGGCTGTGTGGCGGCCCGTGGGTAGGATTACAAGTGAAGGTAGAGATGTGGGGTGCATAAAGTTAAATATTGTTTCTTTATGAAATGTCACTGACTTGACGAAGAAAAATATAATTTGCATTGATGGAATCCTTGCAAGAGATCGAAAAATTTTAGTGTTAATAGTGAAAAAACAAATCCAACCAATGGATATCAGTAGATACGTATTTGATGGCTATCGTTAAATCGAATTTTTTGATCGTATTTAGAGAGATGGTCTTAGTTTATGACCATCGTGAGAGCAAAATATTGCTGAACGGGATATCATATATCGAGGTTTACCTATACAGCATTGTAAATGTTTTTGAATATCCAGCCCCTCAGGTACTGTACACATGAAACAACCAAACCTAACATAACTTGACCTAATTAAAATTACTGAACCCTCTTATTGTTTGGTTTTAGGTTAGCTTTGGTTGTTAGTGAGGTCTACTTTATGAACACCTTTCCATATTTGTTTTCGCTTGTGTTGGACATAACTGAACCATAGTTTCAGCAAGATTTCAAATACGTGCTTAAATAATTGTACTTATCAATTAACTTTAATGCTGTACTGTACTGTACTGTACTGTACTGTATGTGGATGTGTATATGGGTATCAATCCCTACTATGCTTTTAAGTTACTTTATCCTCTTCACCACTGGCCTTTGGCCACTATTCTCATTTGTTAAAAAGTGGTTATAATTAGATTTATTGTGTACAATGTGGATATAAAAACTTGTTTTAAACTAGGTTTGTTCATCCAGCCTGGGATCCTGCTTTACTCAATCTTCATCCACAGGGGCATCCCGTTTGCCCAGGCCCCACTGGGTCGTCTGAGATGGGCGGCTCCTAGCGAGCTGGAGGGAGGTGGGGTGTGGCCAGGCGGTCGTTTAGATGCCACCCAGCACCGCCCCTTCTGTCCCCAGTATGACCACAGCTCTCAAAAGGTGATTGGGAATGAGGACTGCCTGTACCTGAATGTATACACGCCTGTTCTGCCAGGTAAGCTTGGTTCTACTCCCTCCTGTAGACCTATGAGCTTCACTAACTGGAGTTTTTGTTCCTCTTACAGATGTTATTCATCACGACTTGTGTATGTTTTTCATCCTCTTATGGGAGTCTTAGCTGTCTTGTCCTGGTGGGCTGTCGGACCCTGTGGGGAGGACAGTGGTTTGTAACAGAAGACGACGCAAATACACTATTATGTCTGTACAGTACTTTCAAAATCCATAAACTGATAAAGATGATGCTAATAATGGTGATATTATCATTAAAACTGACTTTCATAGTTATGATAACAATTATAATAAAAATGAACATAATGTATTTGATCATGATATAAACATTAAAAATAAGAGTGAAACGTTAGTAGAGGTGTTGGCATGGTCAATGTTTGGCATGGGTCACAGTCCTCCAGAGAGGTTCAATGCATGGCTGCAAATACCAGCACCTGCTCTTATATTTAGGGACATTGCCCCTTCTAGCACCTGTGACTGACTTGCCCTTATTGACGAAACTTACAGGATTACGTCCATGAAAGATCTTTGCCTGGCCGAAAGTTTCATCACCTGTTAATGTTTGTGGGAAACTGAGAGACTCCTCACATTTTGTCTTGAATTGTGACATTTCAGATTAGTTTTGTGAGGGACAGCTTCATATGTTGATAAATTGTAAATATTATATGTAATTCTGTCTCTGGAATTGATAAGGACGGTGATCTGACAGGTCAGTCACTGGAAAGGCTACCAGTGTTATTCTTCCTGCATGGGGGCGGGTACCTGCGGGGAGCGGCATCCGCCCTTGGCCCTCAAAAGCTCCTGAAGGAGAACGTGGTGCTAGTCACAGCCAACTACAGGTTGGGTGCGCTAGGTGAGTTCTCAGGTAGATATACTCTGGTGTGCATGTTGAAATGGTCACCTGCCCAGGCTTTAAGGTCATGACTTATTGTTCATGAAAGAAGATAACTTGATTAGTGAGCTACAGTGAGACCTCCATATATAACGGACTCCTCTCTACCAGAGTTGTAAAGTAACTAAATAAATTTACTTGAGTACTGTAATTAGGTAACATTTTGGGGTATTTACATTTTAAAAAGAACTCAAATTTTATAGTACTTTTACTTTTACTTGAATATGGTTTTCTAATACTTTTACTCCAATACATGCAAACTAATAATATATTTGTAAATAATTAATTATTAACCATAGTAAAAGAGTTGTGTGGGTCCTGCCCATATGGCAGGAAATGAGTAGGGCAGCAAAATATAACAACCTATGCATTATGGGGGATTTCAACTTCAGAAATATTGACTGGGACAACATTGTAGGTGACTATGAATCTGAAGACTTCCTAGACGCAGTACAGGACAATTTTTTGGAACAACTAATTACAGAACCTACTAGAGGTGACGATATATTAGACCTAGTATCAACAAATAAAGAGAATATTATCAGAGATATCACAGTAGGGGAAGAACTAGGTAACAGTGATCACAGAGAAATCAGGTTCACCCTAAATTGGGAAACGAAAAACAATGACAATATGGTCAGAGTCCCAAACTTTCGGTTGGCGGATTATCAGGGGTTAAGAAGGTACCTAGGTGAGGTCACCTGGGAACAGTCACATCAGTCCCCAGTAGGAAGGGGTGAGGTAATAGATGTTACAACAATTGATCATGACGATAATATATTCACTAGTATACTACATAAAGCACAAGAACAAAATATACCATACAGAAAAATTAGGTCAAATAAGAATGAGCTAAGGTGGATGACCAGAAAACTTAAACATAACATAGGAATAAAGAAAGGGAGGGGAAGAGCAGCTCAGAAATAGGTATAATGAACTATCTAGGAATGTTAAGAAAAATGTAAGAAAAGCAAAGAGAGACTATGAAGTCAAAATAGCAAGAGAATCAAAGGCGAATCCCAAGGGATTTTTCCAGGTATATAGAACAAAAGTCAAGGACAAAGTTGGGCCCTTAAAGTCAGGGAGGGGAGAAGTGATAAATGGTAGTGGAGAAATAAGCAAAGCATTGAACAACGACTTCTTATCAGTTTCCACAGAAGAAATTCGCGAGGAAATTCCAGAGGTGGAACTGATATTTAGGGGAAAGGAAGAAGAGAAATTAGAGAATATCACTATCAGAAAAGAGGATGTTCTTAAGAGGATAAATAAACTAAAGACAAAATCCCCAGGGCCGGATGAAATTTTCCCTCGAGTCTTGAAAGAGTGTAGGGAACAGATTAGCGGACCCCTCGTAAATTTATTTACAAAATCATTAGACACCGGAGTTGTGCCAGACTTGTGGAAACAGGCAATTGTAGTACCCATATTAAAAAAGGGAGACAGAGCATCAGCGTCAAATTACCGGCCGATCAGTTTGACGTCAGTAGTGGGGAAATTTCTTGAATCAATTATAGCAGATAGCATCCGATCGCATCTAGAGAAAAGCAAATTAATCTACGACTCTCAACATGGGTTTACAAAGGGAAAATCTTGTCTAACAAATCTGCTAACGTTTTTTAGGAAAGTCTTCGAGGTAGTAGATAATGACGAAAATTACGATGTTATTTACTTAGACTTTAGCAAAGCATTTGACAGAGTACCGCATCAGAGGCTTCTGAGAAAAATTAAGGCTCATGGTATCGAGGGGAAAGTTTTAAATTGGATAAAATCATGGCTCACCGATAGAACGCAGAGGGTCAGCGTAGATGGTGTTAAATCTGAGTGGGGCCGTGTAACCAGTGGGGTTCCCCAGGGGTCAGTACTAGGCCCACTCTTGTTCATAATCTACATAAACGATCTAGATACTGGGATCAGCAGTGACATAAGCAAGTTTGCAGATGACACCAAAACAGGGCGGCAGATTAATTCAGGGCAGGATGCAAATACATTACAGGAGGATCTAAATAAACTACAGGGGTGATCTGAAAAATGGCAAATGAAATTCAACACCAGCAAGTGCAGCGTACTTAATATTGGAAGAACAAATACTGACAATGTATACAGCCTTAACAACATCAACCTAGAGAAGTCGACTTGTGAAAGAGACCTAGGGGTACTTGTAAGCCCGGACCTACGGCCTAGAAAACAGTGCATTAATGTTCGAAATAAGGCAAACAGAGTATTGGGTTTTATATCTAGAAGTGTAAGTAACAAGAGTGTAGAGGTCTTATTGTAACTATATCTTGCGCTAGTCAGGCTGCACCTCGATTATGCGGTTCAGTTCTGGTGCCCCTATTATAGAATAGATATAAATTCACTGGAGTCGGTGCAGCGAAGAATGACAAAAATGATTCCGGGACTTAGAAACCTTCCATATCAGGATAGGTTAAAGAAACTTAACTTGCATTCCCTAGAAAGACGAAGAGTGCGGGAAGATATGATAGAAGTATTTAAGTGGGTGAAAGGAATCAATAAAGGGGATATAGATAAAGTTCTTATAATATCCGAGCAGGATAGGACTCGGAGCAACGGATTCAAGTTGGATAAGTTTAGGTTTAGGAGGGAGATAGGAAGAAACTGGTTCACAAATAGGGTGGTGGACGAGTGGAACAAGCTTAGCAACTTTGTAGTAAGTGCGGGAACTCTGGAAAGTTTCAAAAGGAGGCTAGATAGATTCATGGATGATAGAGAGTGGTAGTAACTCTCGACAGGAGCTGCCATGCACAGGCCAACCGGCCTATTGCAGACTCCTTATTTTCTTATGTTCTTAGGTGTTCTTATGTGAAGGGTATGGTATGGGGAGACATGGTCACCTACCCAGAAGTTCCCTGTGAGGTCAGGCCAGGCTGTGGCAGTGGCTATGGCAGCGGACTTTCCTTTGATCTTCTTTTGTGTCCATCAGCACCTTGACTTGACTTGGATGCCGGTAAGTAAAGATGGAGGCCATTGCTTGCTGCTGAGTGGAGGGGCTGGAGAGGGGAGTGTGGGGTGGGGGAGTACTTTTGGAGTATGTGGGTGGGAAGGGATGGTTTTAGGAGAAGGTTAATGAGGGGAAATTTTTAAGGAAAGGAGGAGTGTAAAGGTATCCGGGCTCATCCAGATAGGTTGTATTTTAAAATTCTTTGTTGATCTTTTGTACTAGTAATTTAAGTTCTAGCTCTCAGGCCTTTGACTTCTCTAGTTTGGTCATTGCAGTAGCCAGCATTTCAAGGTTCTTTATGGAGCTGGCTGAGCATCGTATAGTTTGTTTTAATAAAGGTGGGAGGAAGGTGGCAGGAGGGGTTGGAGAGGCCATGGATAGTGTCCGTTAGTCACTCACTTCTTTTGTAGAAGTTTTTGGGGGGGGAATTGAAGCTTTTGTTTAAAATAGGAAAAGGTCTTTGCAGCGAAGTGGTGTAGGATCCAACTTGCTACTTTGGTTTGCAAGGCGGTGGTCCTGTTTTTTTTAATTGAAAAGGTGTATGTTTTTTGTTGGTGGTGTTTTATCTGGCTATTCATTCTATGCGATTTTATGTTATTATTTTCTTATTGTATTACTTTATGGTTGTTAGTTGTATCTCGGTATTGGTGCTGGGTCGTTTAGTCTTGTTCTGCTGGATCTGAACCATAATGATCTCTCACTCTTCTTTCTATTTCATTATCGAGCCAGTGAGTTACAGCTTCTAACTCTTCTACTTGCCCACGTTCTTTTAGCTTTGTTGTATCAGCGTCAATTACCGTACCGATCAGTTTGACGTCAGTAGTGGGAAAATTTCTTGAATCAATTATAGCTGATAACATCCGATCGCATTTAGAGAAAAGCAAATTAATCTACGACTTTCAACATGGGTTTACTAAGGGAAAATCATGTCTAACAAATCTGTTGATATTTTTTAGGAAAGTCTTCGAGGTAGTAGATAATGAGAAAATTACGATGTTGTTGCCGGTTTAGACTTTAGCAAAGCATTTGACAGAGTACCGCATCAGAGGCTTTGAGAAAAAGTTAAGGCTCATAAATGAGGAAGTTTAAATTGATAAAATCAGGTTTACCTGACAGAACTAGAGTCAGCGTAGTATAAAGAAACTGAGTGGGGGCCGTGTAACCAGTGGGGTTCCTAGGGTCAGTACCAGGTCTACTCTTGTTCATAATCTACATAAACGATCTAGACATTGGGATCAGCAGTGGCAAGCAAGTTTGCGGATGACACCAAATAGGGCGGCAAATTAATTCAGGCAGGATGCAAATGCATTACAGGAGGATCTAAATAAACTGCAGGGGTGATCTGAAAATGGCAAATGAAATCAACACCAGCAAGTGCAGCGTACTTACATTTAAAGAGCCCAAATACTGATACCAAGCACAGCCCAACAACATCAACCTAGAGAAGTTTTCGACTTCCAGAAAGAGAATTGAAAATTTGTAGGGCCCGTAGTTGGTTATATGTTTTGGATCTATGAATTCTTTGGGAATGAAGATCATTTTAACGCATTCGAGGGCATCGGGGAAGTAACCGGCTGATAGGGCTCAGTTGTATATGTTTAGGAGTACTTGTATTGGTCTGTTATTAACGGTAGGTTTAATAGTATATTTCAAGTTGTGCCATTTATTCCAGGTGATTTTTCTTTAATTTGCGTAACCTGTGTAGTAGTTCGTCGTGTCCTATGAATCTATTAGGTTTTAGTCTATCTGGATTTCTGGTATGGTAGGGAGTCCGTCAATTGTTTCGGTGTCTTAGCCAGTCTTTAATGGCTTCTTCATTTTCTTTGTCAAAGTTCTAATTTTCTTCTTCTGATATTCTGAATATATTTTTTCATTCTCTACAAAGGGCCTCTCCTTTCTCCTGGTCTGTATAAAGTGTTTCTCCGTTTTGGTCTTGCATGTAGTTTACTGTTTGTTTTTAGGTGCCAAGTAATCTGTTAATGTTTTGCCAAAATGTTTTTTGTGTCCTTTGTTGTATCTATGTTTAATATTACACTTCCATTTTTCGTTGTTAATTTTTGTATATTCTTCTTGGAGGTCATGCTGAATTTCCCTTATGTTTTTGAGTCGTTCTCTAGTGGACCCTGCTTGTTCTATATATGTCCTTGTACTGTATTATTGTATTGTACTTGTAACCTCCGTAATACGTCAGGGACAGTACACGGCGAGTCAGATTCAGTCACTATGGAGGCAACAATCATCCACAAACTCCTCAACTGAAGGAGCTTGATAGCTACTTGGTATGCCCAGGGGATGGAATGGAGCTACTGAGGTCTTTTCCGACATTATGTGACGTATCTCTCAAGTTGCATCTGCTGCTTGTGAGCGTCTGTTTAGTAATTCTGGACTTATTATTTATTATTTAATTATTTTTTTACACCCCAGGGAGCGATGAGCCTAGTCACAAGACCACGTGGTCAGACACTAATACATTGGTACTCGTGTCTCGCAGGACACGCTATGACTTGTGATATGAAGACAATATTGATATGATTTAAGGACAATGGGAGTTAACACCCACCAAAGCGCAGGTAGCGTACAAGAATTAAATCTTAATTATTACGAATAAGTAGGTGGTGACATAGAGTGATTAGTGACTCCCTGTGGTACGGGTGGTAGGAGTTCCTGACAGTGGGACAGTCAAGGCAATACAGTAGTATTGATGGGTATTAGAGTTGGGACAGTTACAGAGTTTACAGGAAGAGAAGTACGGGTCATCCCTCGCCTCGGATACATGCCAGATAGGTCTGTATCCTAACCCAGTGCGAGCAGAGACAACAACATTTTATCTGCGGACCATAAATCCACATCGACAATACTTGTGTGGATAAGGAAAATAGTGATCATAGTGTTGGATGGATATATTTTCAGTCCGTTCACCATCCCTGCGATGCATTGTAGGGAGAAGAGTGGCTGAACGTATTCTCTTTCGGTAGGTCAAGCTGGGCTTATATTTAGGTCTTAAAGGTCCTGATTGGACAGCCATAATTTCGAGAATTGGTTATTAATTTTTCTCAATAGAAAGATTTGCAAATAAACATGTGTAATGCTGTGTGTCTTTTATTTTATCTTTAGTTACTTAGTTTTTATAATTAACTGTGGATTTATTTTAATATTTGAGATAAATAATAATTTTGTTGTCACGTTTTACTTTCAGTACTTGAGTACTTTATGAATTAGATAATTTTTTACTTCTACTTGATTACATTGACATTTGGATGCTTTTATTTCTACTTGAGTAACATTTTGCCAATGTAACAATACCTTTACTTTAGTCCGGTACTTTTTACAACTCTGCTCTCTACATAATTATAATCTGTTAGTTGGGGGGAGGGGGTTCACATCTAATGGACCCATAATATAATGGAATTTCATATCTATATAGGTCATTAGATCGTGGTTTCACACCTAACGAACCCTCGATATAACGAACCTTCCTCTCCATATAGTCCGTTAAATAGAGGTTTCACTGTATTAATGTGTGGTATTTTAGATAACATTACTGTATTCTTTAGGTTAAATAAGTTTGATAGGCAGACCTGTTGATATGCTGGACTATACCCAAAATAATTTTTAGTATTTGTGGACACGTTTGATGATGTGACTGAGATGCATTTGTTTTGTTCATGTTTCTTCAGAAGTGTTGTTTAATAAAAAGAATTTTACTCCATTTGATGTTTTCTTTTATGTTGTCTTAAGAACTGTGATTACCATATATCATTGTAGAGTGAGGTAGGTCACTAACACTACCGGCTGCCTCACTTGTGTCACCCTCCCCAAGGATAAAGCATTTTATTGCCTAGATCTGTATTTTTGGGTGAGGGAAGGATGATGCCTCCGTGAATAGTTTTAAGACTGGCATTTTGTTTATCTCTCCCTTCATCAGTAGTTAAGAAACAAAATAATGCTGTATAGCTTTTTTGGTTATAAGTGGTAGATAAAAAGATGAATTTAAATCTTTTGTGATCATATGTTTGAGTTTCCTAGCAAGTTGAGTTGATTATGAACAATGAACATACTGTACTGTATGTTCATCTTGTCACTGAATAATCTAAAATGCTTTTCACATACAAAGAAAATAATACAATACAGTGCTTATTAATTGGAGTCAGACTAAGGACCTTCTCCCAATGGAACCACTAAACATTCACTCCCATGATTTTTATACTAATCAACTCCTGATGGTTTCAGATGTTTAAAGCCGTTTTATTATTTATATATTTACAAAATCTGTTACCCAGGGTTTTTGAGCACAAGGGACACCACACTGCCGGGGAACTATGGGGCGCTAGACCAGATAACTGCTCTACGCTGGGTCAAAGCCAACATAGCACAGTTTGGTGGCGACCCCAACAGGGTGACGTTGGGAGGGTTCTCTGCCGGCGCCTCCTTTGTACACCTTCACATGCTGTCTCCACTGTCAAGGGGTGAGTTGCCACGGTGGGCAGCTGGGTAGAGACGCCTCAGGGTCATCAGTTGTTGTGGTGCCTCATCAGGGAACCCACAGATGTTTCAGTGCTCTTGGTGTTTTTACAGTAGACGGTTGTAGTTCTGGTGGGTCTGGCTGTTACTGGTGCAAGTACAGTACAGCCAGTATTGACCCTCTGTATGTGATTATTGTAAGTATTATACTGATATGGTGTAATTTTTTATCATTATGAGTAATGATGATGTTTCATGTTGCCTTGTAATTACTGATGTTGTCTAGGTGTTACCTTTAAGACTACTTGTTATTGTCTAAATGTTACTCTTATAAATACTTGTAACCAAATGTTAGTACTGATATTGTCCAGACATTGTTTTTGTGAGTACTAATACTGTCCAAATGTTAATATTGTACTGTAAATACTGTTGTTGTTCCTAAAGTCACGTGTATGAGTACACTGCTACCCAAAGATGACCTTGGGTAATACCATTAAGAATTATCATGCCCTGTATATTGCAGACTTGCAGATAGTCAAGCCCTGTGTCTTGCAGACCTGTTCTCTGGAGCCATCATGATGAGCGGGGCGGCAAACTGTCTATGGTCAGTGGCGGATTACCCGGAGTACGCAGCCTACGACCTGGCTCGTGACCTCGGCTGCACCACCAGGTCCTCCTATTACCTGAAGGACTGCCTGCAGGACAAGACAGCCCAGGAGATCATTCAGGCCCAGACCTCCAGACATGTAAGCGGTGGTGGTGGTGTGTATACAAGTGTGATGTAAGATGATTTTTTCCCTCCCGTAAGCCCTTGTGTACCTTCATTTGTTGTCAGTAACTCTGACTGCCTTAATGATTTGACCTGTTATAATATTCCCCTTCCATAGTACAGTAAACGCACATGGTATTGATATTGAAACAGTTTATGGAGCAAGAAGAACACAGATACAGAGTCGATAATAATAACAATATTAACATGGCTGAACCAGTTGAGGCCTAGTCTCTTGTACTTTTACTTTTATCTCTTCGCCACTGATCGGCATTAGCCCGCCGGACGATCGGTCGTCTCTTTTCGCTTTATATTCTTCACCAAAAGGTCGGCTCCATCTAGCCACCGGGCGATCGGTCACGTCTCTGTCACGCACTGTTGGCAAATACTGGGCATGCACCGGCTCCTGAATGTACCTGAACCCGCTCCAGTGTTGGTCAAGTCTTCTCTTGAAAGAGCTCACACTCGGTGCCGTCACAACACTCTGGTAGATTGTTCCAAGAGTTTACAACCCTCACTCCGAAAAAGTTTGCCCTCACGGTTTTCCGGACTTGCGGCTTCTTCAATCTTGAGCTGTGACCCCTTGTGGGGCGAGCGTCCGCCAGCTCCAAGTAAGGACACTCAACTGAGTAGTGCCCCTGAGATGCTTATAAACCTCAACTAGGTCCCCCCTTGCCCGTCTGTAGTATAAGCTAGGCAAGTTCAGGCGCTCCAATCTCTCAGGGTAGCTGAGATGCCGAAGTGCAGGCACCAGTTTGGTGGCCCTCCTTTGAACATTTTCAACCAACTGACAGTCCCTAGCATATCTCGGGGACCAGATGGGGTGACAGTACTCCAGATGGGGAAGCACTTCACTCCTGAAGATCGCCACGAGGGACGGACCGTCTAGATATCTGAACGACCTTCTTATAAGACCCAATAATTTATTTGCCTGATTTACCTTCTTCTCACAATGGCCCGAGAACTTCAGCTCATTGTCAACATACACACCTAGGTCCTTCTCACACACAGTCTCAACTAGTACATTTTCTTCATCCCGTTGGGACATATGGTACGCCTCCTTACCGTTGGTACGCCCCAGGTGCATCCTCTTACACTTCGTGACATTGAATCTCAGCAGCCATTCCTTCGACCATTCCTGGAGCCCACAGAGGTCCTTCTGCAGCTCTTCACAGTCCGCTTGGTTCTTAATTTCCCGAAATAACTTGGCGTCATCGGCAAACATTTGTATGGAGGAGTGTACAACGTCAGGCATATCATTTATGAAACAAACAAACAACAGCGGGCCCAATACACTACCCTGCGGTACCCCACTTGTTACAGGTACAGATGACGATTTCGTGCCATTAATCACCACACATTGCTTGCGGTCATGTAGAAAGTCTTCTATCCACGCTAGGACATTTCCCCGAATTCCGTACCCTTCCAGTTTGATTTTCAGCCTTTCGTGGGGTACACTGTCGAAAGCCTTGGCAAAATCTAGGTAAATATTGTCGATATTACCACCCCGTTCTAGAATATGGGTCCAAATATCCAATACCTTGAGCAATTGTGTCAAGCAAGAGCGCCCCGGCATAAAACCGTGTTGGCAATCTTTTACAAGGTTGTTTCGTAGTAGATGTTCCATCGCTGCATCTCTGATAATACTCTCAAGTACTTTACATATTATGCTGGTCAGGCTCACCGGTCTATAGTTGTTCGTGGAGTGCCTATCGCCCTTCTTGAAGATAGGACTCACATAAGCCACCTGATATATACTGTACATTTATCTCAAGGAAGTATTATGTAACATTTAGTATCATCTGGAATAGTACACATAGCATGATGGTAATAAGAACATATCAGAATGTTACCGCGATTATCACTTCGATATTTTTTTTTTACATTTATATTACATGTATATATACAGTACAAACTTTACAGTGGAGTTGATATACAGAGCTGTACATAAATATGATAAGGGAGGGAAGCAGTACAACATGGTATTATGTCTAGTCGGCAAATATATTTATTGCAATGGTAATTTCTATCTATCTACAAGATAATTTCTGATAAAACGGTTTTGGTGGTACAATATAAGTAGTTATTACAAGAAAATACTAATACTTGGACAATAGATATTTTTAAAGGAAGGGAGCGTAGTCTTTGCTTGGATGGGTGGGGGTAAGTTGTTCCACACCTTCCCACCATGATATTTTATGGAGGTCTGGGACTGAGAGGAGCGCATGGGGGGAGGGGGGGGGGCTGGTCTTAGTAGCGCTGGGTGTCTTAAGTTGTATCTCTGATTATTCCGGAATTGGTCAGGCAATGAGAATTAATAACATCACGAAGGGAGAAGCTACTCTACAGCTAAGTTAATTTGGGTGATTGGTTGACAGAATCAGTGATTCAAAAATGCGTTAAAAATTATTTGTGGTTAAGAATTCAGATTTCATGATACAATCTTTGTGATGATACTGACAATGTTTTGAAAAGAAGAAGAAAGTGTTAAAATTGAGAAAAGAAAAAGTGGGTCCCATAGGCATGGTGGGCCAATAGTGGCAGTAAAAACACAGGACCCTGAATGTTGTACAGAGGAGAGACAGTGTGGCAGACTTCACATCCCCAGCAGCAGTGTTGTAAGTGATGTACTTCACCGCCGGATAGTGTTCTAATGGCAACAAGTGTGAGCTCATATAAGACCAGATTTGACCAACACTGGCCCAGGTACATTCAGGAGCCAGTACATGCCCAGTACAAGTGTGTAACAAAGACGTGACCAATCGACCAAGCAGTTAACGAGCCGATCGGTGGTGAAGAGAATAAAGTATAAAAAGTAAAAATTCAGGTAAATTACAAGACGAACCACAAGGTAATAATATTGTATAATAAATCATTGGAACTTGTCATAATATAATTTAAATTTCATTTCCAGCTTCATCAGCATTGCTGCATGATGAATAAAAAACAAGAATAACCATAGAATTATCTTATTAAATGTCATTTGAAATTACTGTTAGAGTTTATCAGTGACCTAAACATAATTATGAATTCTTTCTTTGTGAGCAGCGGTATGTGTTCTGGCCAATGCTGTACCGGCCGGTGGTGGATGCTGGCCTCAGAGAGTCACCCTTCCTTCCAGAGCCTGTCGAGGTCCTCATGTCCCGCCCTCCACCTCACCCAGTTCCTCTCCTGTTGGGGGGAGTGCCTGATGAAGGAATATTCTTTGCTTTAAGTCAGTGGTAACACAGTTTGTTTTTAAGTCTCCCCTCCATGTCCCCCTCCAGCTAGGGATGCTACTTGACAGTGTGATGTTATTTGAAGTTAGTGATGAGTTTTATGTAGAATGACCCATCATGTCTCTCCTTCCAACCAGTAAAGACACTTAGTAATGGCATTAATTTATCACTAGTAGCGGTGGTGTTTATATTGTTCAGGTCATTCTGTCATACAGGCGGTGGTGTTCTCGCAATTTTACAACAATGAAATATTGTACAGTCCACGCCATTTATAAGCCACACAGACCTCGAAATTCCTAAATGTCAACTTGGCTGGGTCCATCCCTCCCCCACCTCCAGAAACATACACATGAGACAATTAATTGGTAGTCAGCCAAGGTGTAAAGTCAACACTTACTCCCAAACACGTCAGTAGGATTTAGAAACCACGAAGAAGCGTTTTTTAAAGTAAGTGTTGACTCTACTGTACATCTTGGCTGACCACATTGTCCGGTTTGTATGTTTAGGGACAGGTGGGGAGGGATGGACCCAGCCAAGTTGCCTGTTAGAAATGTTGAGGCTGCCAGTCTGTGTGGCTTATAAGTGGCATGGACTTCTACTACCTGTATGTACCTCCTCATGATCCAAAAGACAAGAAATTGTTAGAATATAATAAAGTCCTTAAGAGAATATATTTGTATTCTATAGATTTTTTTAGGGCAGAGAAAATCAACACATTAATAGTTTTTAGTATAATTAAATTAGATTTTAGTGACTTCATAAAGAGTCAATCTCTCGTGTCCTACACAAGTCATTTCCATCTATGTATTTCTTAAATTGATTACATCTGTGTTTGTTTATATTTCCTAAAATAGTAGTGCCTTTGTCAATATTTACTAAACACACGTAAATTCATATGTTTATCCTCAGATAGTCATGTCTGTGTCTTTAATGCCTAAACTAATTACTGTACAGGTATATCCATGTCTGTATTTCCCACTTTGGTCATGTCTGTAGCTCTGTATCTGTCTGTCGTTCCCCGTAGCTGTGGCGATCTTCTCCAAGAGTGGGGGCAGTGCCAGTGAGCTGTACAAGGAGGCAGTGCGCTACACGGTGGAGTCCCTATGGCCGAACACCACCACCACCACCCCCGTCACCGACTCTGTCACCTCCTTCTACTACACCCACCAGGCCAGGGACAACCTCGACACCCTAGCTGAGGAGATGAGTGAGGTGAGCACTGTTGGCTGAGGAGATGAGTGAGGTGAATACTGTTGACAATACCAGTATTTATGCCTCGCTGTACAGTACAAGTATTACCAAGTCGATATCATTACTGTAGTTTTTGGTGATCTGTTAACAGTATAATGGACATGAACCCAACCCACTCATAATTAATTAAAACTTAACCTAACCCAGCTTAGATCATTTACTTTTTAATCTTACGTTTATCCTCCTCACCACTGATCGGTCATGTTTTAAATAATTTCCTGATGTATTTAATTAGAGATACGTGAAGATGGTATAATTAATTCTGATATGTGGCAAAGGATTATTTTTAGATTTATTAAAAGAAGTGATCACCTTACAGACATTCACAGACCTATTGTTTACATCGTGTATATGGGACGCTGCCGCCTACTTTGCATCATCCTCTCGAGTCCCAGTTTACACGTGAGTAGCATATTAAGTGTGTTTACTCCTGTTACTTTGGTGAATTCTGTATGAAGGTGCCAGCTCTGTGTGTCCAGTGGTGGTGCTACTACAGTATAAAAATTATATTCAACGTTCTGTAATTGTACTACATGACATATTTGTGTACCTAATTTGTATCAAGTCGTACTTCTACCACACTTGTCATCCATAGCCAATAGGAGAGTCAGCTGTGGATACGAGAAATTAGTTTATTATCCAATTTACAGCCTATGATTTACGTTTATTTAGGCAAGTGGCATTATAGGTATAGTATAAGTGGCTGAAGGGAAGTGGTGGAAACTTGACAGTGAGAGATTATTGATATATGTCAGAATGTTTTTGTTACTTTCATCTCGTTAGTTACACTGAGGTTAGAAATATAATGTTCTTGGGTTAAATTGTTAATCATTTTATCAAGGGGTTCAAGTTGTCATATTCAGCGGATAAATTGCAATTGGTAATTGTTTGACATTCTCAGCAGTGTCAAGTTAGAGCAACACATAACTGCATTTAAGGAGTAAACGTTTGTTCAGTCATAATTTCATACAATTACCTGGTATAGTATTTAAAGTATTTTTTTTAACTCGGTCAATTGTATCAAGTTTTAGTTTTGTTGGTCTTAATCTCCATCACTCTTATCTATTATAGGTACCTGATGACACACCGTGACCCCAGGTCTCCAACATACGCCGCACCTCTGCACCGCCAGGCTGAGGCCATGGGTGTGAGAAGTCGTGCCATATACTCCGGCATCTCTCATGGGGATGACCTCGCCCACATCTTCTCCTTCCCATATGACCTGGGTCAGCCGGGGTCAAGGGACTTTCAGATTTCTGCACTTCTTAACTTTATGTGGGCAACCTTCGTCCACACTGGGTCAGTCCCCCCCCCCCACCCCCACATGGTGTTCAACGATGACTGTGGTGTATCAGTATTGTGATATAGACAGATTGATAACCGGTATTGTGAGTTTATACAATAATAATTAGGCAGTTCGTACAGCAGGTTATAGGCAGTTCTTCATTTTGTAAACCTAGTACAACTAACTTAACCATATCATCGCAGGTCACCGCAGGAAGCAGACCTGTCCACAACAGGGATGCCAGTGTGGACGCCCCTGGTGGCTGGGGAACAAGTCACCTATTACAGCATATCCTTCACTCCAGGCATGTCCTCCACACCCTTCAGGGGCAAGGTGAGTGCCAACATGTCAAGGGATTAGTGATATCACATGTTCCTTGTCTTCCACGAACAACTTTTAGTGTCTTTGTTCTTACACTTTGGGTACAGACAAACAATAATGGATGTATTTTCTTGTGATTTTATTTGTATAGATTTATATTTTTGTCATTGTTTCATTATGAATAAAACCACAGCAGTAACTATATGAGTTGAGGAAAAGACTTAAGAATACCAAAAAGGCTTCAGTAGATAATTTAAGAATGCGAATGTTAATGAAGGCGATTTTTTTATATGGTGTAAATATCACCAGGTAGTATAATGCAGAAAAACTAATCTTGACAGAAGTAATCAGTGGTCCAATAATAATATAATGGAGTTCCTCCCAGGTGAGTCACTTGTTGTATGGACATGGAGAATGTTTTGTTGAAAGTTGATATATAAATGTACCTGGGATGATTGGTGATGGAGTGTTGTGTACGAGGAAGAAAGAAGCACTGTAGGGTGGTACATAGAGAAGGTGTTAAGGTCAGTGCCTTTTGGAGGTCATGGAAGATACTGTAGTGTTGTAAAAGTCAATGAAAGCAACCATTGGCTTCTTCTCATTTTTTTCATTATCCTTATCAAGTATGGAAAGTTGGGTGGTATGGATGGTAGTACAGTAAGTAGTGTTGGTTTTAACCGTCAATTTCCACAGGAACGGAACTTATGGCGACAGACACTGACGTACGTGGACACCACCTCGGAAACTTTTTTCGCTTATTTTGCCTCTACTTGGGTGCTACTGGCTGTGCTGCTACTACTGTTGCTGCTACTGATTGTGGTGGGCATCTGTGTGTGGAGGATGAGACGGAGAGACAAGTACCCAGGAAGTTCACTCACCCTGAGGAGCCGCATTTCTCGCAACCCCTCTCCATCTTCCTCCAGCAGCCGGTAGCTCAGTGTGGGCGTGTTGTCCAGCTAAGGATGCTGAATGTTGAGTCAAGGAGAAGTATCAAATGTTTATTAATTCTGCCACCCTGACCATGGGCTAAGTTCAGGCATATAGTATTAGATCCTGTTTCTTCTTTACTTATGTACGCTTGAAGCTGATGGTCACACACCAGAAAGTGTATTACCCAGTTTTGAAGGGATTGCTAGAGTGGTGCCCGTCACATTTGCCAACTGTGATGTGTTGGGCACACCTCTCAGGGTTAATGGAGCATTTAGGACTTGTGCATTCAACCTGACAATCAATATTTTATACCTTTGTCCTGTGCTAGAACTTAGACTAGTTATCATTATATATAATGTGTAAAAATATTTTATTTATGCTTTGACTGCACAGTAAGCCATTTTAATGCCTTTGTGAATAGAATATGTACAGTGTTTTGTGTCAAATTATGATTGGATAGTGTTAGGCTTGGTGTCATTTCATCCAGGCTGGCTGATTACTGAAACGATTCGTAGTGGTATAGTTACAGTAATTCTTTGAAAAAGCGTGCACATCACATATTTATTTGAACACACACACGCACTTACTTACTTACGGCTGTCCGTCGTAGCCAACGATGACTCTGCTTCATTATGAAATCGATGATGACGATGATGAGTGGTGAACTAGGGATGTTGTCGGCGGTGCCACTGGAGTCCAATCCTTGACCCGTAGACTCTATCTCACATTGGGCAGGACAGCTCCGGGTTGGGTGTGTTGTTTGTAGGAAGGACAAGAAAAGCCACAGACATTTAATATTCCATCGCTTTCCTAAGGATAAAGACTGGAGATTATAATTATGTCATGGAGATAAAGGAGTTAAGTGTAGTTACTAGTTTAAGTTACCATGGCTTTGGCCCCATGTCTGCTATGAGGTAAGTTTAAATTAATGTTTAAAGGAATCATCGGCCTCGGCTTGAGGAAGATTATGACGCCCGTATTATTAAACATCTTCCCTTGAAGAGGGTCGTCGTGTTTCAACCCGAGTTTTAAACTAAATGAGTCCTGAGGGACACCGCAGTACAGTACTTAACGGGGTGGTGTGGCGGTAAAATTAACTAATTCCAATAAAATTAATTTATAATATTGGAATTAGTTAATTTTACCGCTACATCACCCCGTTAAGTACTGTACTGCCGTGTCCCTCAGGACTCGGTTTAAAACTCGGGTTGAAACACGACGACCCTCTTCAAGGGAAGATGTTGTTTAATAATACGGGCGTGAAACTTGACCTTGTTAAAATAATAAAATGAAATTTCTCCAGATTAGTGGCGTGATGAACGGAAATAGTCGCAGGAAAAAGTTCACAGAAAATTGTGTAAATTTTGTCTAGGAAAAAAAGTCACAGGAAAAAGTCACATTTTATCGAAATGTCATTAGCAGTTAAATTAATAAAACAAAATATTTTTAGTCCCCTATTAACTGACAATACATGACTTGGACACATTAACAACACAACTTACTGTATATACGATGAATGGTGGCATTACATGATTAAATCTTAACGTAGCAAAGCAACAATCCACATTAGCTCCGGACCTCCCTGGCATTACACGTATGTTAGGTTAGGTATGTACTGTACATGGATAAGATTGTTATGGTGACTCAGCCCTTTCTGTATTTCTTGTTATTGTTACTTTATATAATAAAGTGCATTATAACATTCTTGTTTACCTTTATACCTCTACAATCCGACAATAGTAATCTTGTAAAAAAAATTTGTTTAACCATGAATAAAATACCCGAGACGGTAATTTCAGTCAGTTTGGAATGAATGACGTTTTACAAATGATAATGAGGTTAGGTTCTCTTCATAAATGAATAAATGAAGGGTATTTTTGCATTTGTGCACACAACTTTCCTACCCGAAATCTATTATCATATTCGAAAAAGACGTCAAATTATAAGATAATTTTCTTCTATTACATTACCGTCGCAGACATATAATAACGGAAATAGCGCATCCAAAATCTTTCTATTTTCTTTCATAAATCTTCCGCCATTATCGCCTCCCACACCGCGTGTCTCCTCATCACTCCATGCGTTCCCTTACACCTCACGCCGACAATCAAAAGCGTTTTTTTTACACCAATTAAAATGATTTGTGGTTTAATTTGTGGTATTTTTGGCCCAATCAAATTCGATTTTTATTTTGGGTCTCGTATTTCGAAATTCAAATTCATTTCCGACCATGGAAGTCTGTGATGGGTGTTACTTAAATTATATGGAGTTGATTGCACGTTTAAAAAAAAAAATAAAACGAACAAGGTACTGTATAAAATTTTTTCGATCTCATGGTGTTCTCCCGACCTCAGTAAAGTATCCTAAGTGAGAACGAATGTAAATATCGTCAAAAACAACATATGTGGCGTTGTGGTAACTCGTTTCTTATCCACAAGACAAAGAAGAGACGTTGGTGCTCGTACACCGCCAGTGATTTACAAAGGAACCAGAACCAGGTGAGAGTTAGGTTAGGTTAGGTCAGGTCAGGTTTATGTTTTTCTAGTGTTTTTTTGTGTGTATTTTGCATTCTCTTAGCCATAATTTTTGTCGGTAAACGCCCCACCCAAACCCTCTGATAATTAAAAAACGGCCAATACCCGACGGATCACTTTAATGAAGGTCAAAACACACAAAAACACACTATAACAACATAGTTTTGACTTTATAACAAAGTTTTGTACACTAAAGTAAATTTAACAAATGAATAATAAATAAATATATAAATATAAACATAAATACCGGAGTTTATAAATACATCAAGGTTAGTATAGTTAACCGCTATACAGAATCTTTCGTCTTCTATGAATACTGTCTTAGTTATGTCGGCCAACGATAGCGAACGGCGGCACTGAAAAATACACGCAAATTAAAGGGAGTTGAGCTTCCTTACTTTACCTTCCTTGATGCCAGTAAACAGTGAGAGTGAGACAAGTGAGGAGCGGTGATGAGACTCACCCCTCGAGAATTCTTACTGGGGAACCACCATCTGTCTTTTTTCTCCCGACCTTCCTTTTGTACGGGTCTGATGATTCCTCTCCTGTAAGATGACTTCAGGTAGGTGGAGGTATCCTTAGTAGAGTGTCCATGAGTCGTGGGGTGTGAGGAAAGGAAGGCTGGGTGTTCCGGTGTGTGAGGAATGACCCGTGAGGCAGGCAGTGTAAGTGGAGCAGCAATACTCACCCACACCTTTCTACTGTCAGTCTGTCTCTCCGTTGTGTGCCTCCACCAGTTTATTTCTCTGTGTCAGCTCATACCAGTCAGACTCGTTCCTGTTTGGTACTGACAACTTTGTGTTTTGTTCCTCAGCCAAAATATGAGTCATACTCATAGGAATTTGCTTGTGTATTGAGACATTTAATGGTATTTATTTATGATTGTTAAGGCAGTTTTAACATTTTATGTGATGCACAGTATGATATTAAATAACATAATACAATTGTTACCATATTTCTGAATGATATATATTTTTTTAGTAAAGATATGGATAAGGTTAATATTTCATAGTGACCATGCACAGACTTTGGTAAAATTTTAGTATCGGTCATCCCTGACTTAAGATATCCAACCTAGCCTAACCAAACCTAACCTAGCCTAGCCTATCCTAGCCACAGTCCAGGAACTATTTCTAACCTAACCCCCTTTCTTGAGGGTGTTAAATTTTTAACATTTCCTAGATGACTGAAACTAAAATAATACACAGAACTTTAGGTAATGGTGGAGGAGACGATTAGCACCAGAAGGACTTTATGGAGTAGCACCAAATTTTTAGGAGATGTTGTTTGGATGATACTGAGAAATAAAATCGAAATGACATTGTACAGAACCTATTAGAGCCTGACTTAACCTTACCTAACTTCCTAACCTGTGCATTGTCATTTTTATTTTCTATCATCCAGACATCCTAGGAAAAATGAATGAATTTAATCCAATATGAATCGTAATAAACACGCCCGATGTGATTGTTGTTTGTTTCTTGACGTAAATAAAGATCGCAAACGCTCCCATATAGAAGACGATGTGAACCAAACATGGGTCACCATGGGAGATCTGAGGGCTCCATAATTACAGAAAATAATGTATTTATTCGCCTATAAAACTTGTAGAGACGTGAAGTTACTGCCATAATGTGATCAGTGTTTGCTGTGATTTTACCCCATTATTTCCCTCTCATTTCATGCCCTGCTCTCTAACACGTAATTTATGATCAAAGGATAGGTTTCAAAGAAAAAAAATACTCCAATATGAATGAAATATATAAATGTGTTGAGGTGCTAACTGTCTGCTCCACCTTCACCGAACTTTTTATTGATTCTTATACAGTTTATGTACTCTCGATTTAATGGAATCCGATATAACGAACTCTCGATTTAACGGAGGAATTTTTTCCGTTATTTTTCACTCGATTTAGCGAACTAGTCTGATTGAAATAATAAGAGATTATGTGGCATTTCTCCTCTACCCTTTGTTCTCATCCATTTAATTCACAGCCTTATCCTTACAGATGTCCAGATGTATTTTCCTTAAGTTAGAGGATGTCGAAGCATGAATGATGGTGATGGTTCATGGGATATGATATGGGTTAAACTTTTGTTACAAGTGAGGCTGAAGTGTTATGTAAGAATCGTGTTCAATTCATTCTCCTATGGTAGGCAGGTACAGAAACGAAATATCTAAATATTCCCACTAAATGACTCGTATCTCTAACATAAGGAAATATCTGGCTAAGGAGAGGAGGCATACTGTCACATCATCATACCCTGTGTTCCAGATGTCAAGTATATATGGCAAGGGTTGTGATACTGTAGCTACTCTTTTGGGTGGGTGTACAGTACTTTTGAGCCAGATATTGCTAAGTGTCCAGGGAATTTTGTCCACAACTGTACGTATTATATGGTGAATAGGAAATTAAAGTCATATTTGGTAAGGACTTTTCCTTGGAGTGAACATATAATGGGTACTGGGTACAGTAGTATTTTTTCTAGTTACACTATTGCAGTGAATGTAATTAAAATTTAATAATTGACCTTTAGATGTAGGTTAGAGTGCATGGAGAGGAGGCTTCATTAAATTATGAAAAAGAGTAAGTGCATTTTATTTGTACACATCAGTGGCAAGATTACCAGCAATATTTACTCCTTTGGGTACAGTTCATTGTTACTTCAATCCCACCCATAGATCAGAATGTGGTGAGTTGTGGTCTCTACAGCATGATTTTCTGTAGTTTAAAGCTTGGGAGGTTGCATGTTGTTATTACAGTACAATATATACAGTTATCCCACATTTTAACACTTTCTAATAAGAACTATGATACAGGTCTACAATCCCCCTATCCGAAACCCTTGGAGCCAGATGTGTTTGGGAATTCAGAATTTTTCGGATTTCAGAGCGGCAGTACGGTACATGTACTGTATATTATGGTAACATCCTAGCGGGGTCTGTGGCAGCACCCCGTAAGCAAACACATTAATATTTCTGCAATTTGGGGGTTTGGAGCTAAGATGCCTCCCTAAGAAGCATTCCCAAAACAGGGTATGAGGTAGTTTTAGGCTTAAAGTTTTTATCTTATAAAATGTCACAGACTAAACTAAGCAGAATATAACTTGCATTGCTGGAATCCTTGCAAGACAGCGAATAAATTTGAATATAGACAAATAGATAAAAATTTTAGTCCTTTAGTGTAGTACAGATACATTTAAGTACAAGTTTTTAAACTCGTAGTTTTGGGGGTAGTTATACGTAACTTTCTTCATTTATTTTCACTTATTTACATGCACACACTATCCTAAATACATATTGTGAAAAAAGTAAAAGAAAATTGTTTTAAGGTCAAACCTGTACTGTACTCGAATGTACTAATGTACTAGTCCAAACTATAGCATGTTTTTATTCAAATTACAGTAATCACTACCTTACAAGAATTCCAGCAACATAAGTTATATTCTGCCAAGTGAATTCAGTGAAATTTTATGAGCATAAAACTTAAACTCCCTCTGTATGAATAATAAATATGCACTAGGTAACCTTTGCAACCTTCGCTGCTGGCTGTGTCAACACCTCACCTCCCCTCCCTCCTCGGCGTCACTCTGGGTATGTCGTGCACACGAGTGATGCTCCAGAGTTTTTCAGATTTCGGAATTGCTGATAAGGGATTATGGACCTGTATATACATATACAATACTGTACTATACTTCATTACCTAACGAGACCATTGGTCAGTCACCGGCATTATTACCTACTCAGTGAACCATATTTATAAATGATCTGAGTGAAATTTGTTGTTGACCTCTTGTAGTAATACTGTACTGTACAGTTATATATATATATATATATATATATATATATATATATATATATATATATATATATATATATATATATATATATATATATATATACACAGTATTTATTCACTGTTTCTAGTTACCAGACACATGCACTTTTTGTAAACCAATAATCTATGTGATATTTCATCAGAATTTAACTTTTTCACTCTACTGTTTCAAGAACCAAAGCATCAGTTTTGTTTATGATGTTCTGATCTTCCCAGAAATGTTGTAGTGTACATTTAATCTGATTAAATGAGGATTTTTAGTTTTACAGTACCTGTACTGTGGTGTAGTGCAGAGGAGCACAGCACTTGCTGGAGCTGTGATGTGTCATTAGCTAGCTATTATACATGTTGCTATGTTTAAGGAGTTGGCTGACAGTCATTGTTGTGTTAAACACAGGTAACAAGAGGGTACATTAGTTGTGCTGCTGCTACAGGTCCTGCCGTGGCTACTCCTACTTCATCGGTTTCAGTGAAGTGGGTCAGCTGAGTGTTAGAGTAAATCCAGTTCAGTAGTACTTGAATTATCCACGACTGCTGTCAGTTTGCCTTGAAGTATTCAGAAACTGAAGATGAATGAATAATGTGCTTCTCTTGGGTGTTTCATACAGTCTAGTTTATATAATTGTCATAAATAATGTAAAAAGAATGAATTATTATAAACTTTGCTGATATTTGGGATATTGTATTGTCTTCTCAGTCCTGGATATATCATGTAATATAGTGTTATTAGTTAACACTATAATGTACTGTGTATGCAAATAAAAATCTACTGGATTGCATTGCATGGTGCCATTGAGTTATTTTCTTGTGATTTTCTTTATTAACAGTTAGATTAACAATACTGTAGTCTACATTTAAACCAGAAATGATCAGATTAAAACATATTTGTAAACAAAAATAAATTTAAATTTTATTTCCTAAATATAATGAAATGCGAGTGTAAAGTTGGATAGATAATAGATAAATATGGAAAGTTAGATACGTACTGTAAATAGAGCGACAGATAGATAGATGCAGTACAGTATTTATTTATTCCGTAAATTTCAAGCAAATTTACATTGGGTTTTACAAGAAAAATTTGGGCAACGGAATACAGGTTGACAACCCTTTATCCGAAATTCCGAAAACCGAAAGTTTTTTTGTGGGGCATTTATTTTTTTTTTATTTATTTATTTATTTATTTTTTTTTTCAAACAGGGATTAGCCCACCCGGGCATAGATCACTGACCCACATCAGGGCCTGGGGGGCGAAAATGTAATAGTAATAATAATTATAATAATAATAATTATTCATAGTAAATAAATTTTTTTATAAAAATACACTAAAATAAAATAATATGATAACATTAATAATAATAATATATAATAATAAAATTAATAAAAGTAACAATAATACAGGAGTACTGTAATAATAAAATAATAATAATAAAGTAATACAGGTTGTACCTCTCTAGTCCGGCATTCTGTGGTCCGGAAACTCCCGTGGTCCGGAATGATTTTAGTTTGTCCAATAGGTAGATAGGCAGCTTTTTTTTTTTTTTTTTTGTTGTTTACTTATCTGAATTATTATTATTATTACAGGAGTAATAAATTTTTGCCCCTCAGGCCCCAATGTGGGTCAGTGACCTATGCCCGGGTGGGCTCATCCCCGTAAAAACAAACAACAACAAAGCTGCGGGAAATTAAGGTTTGTTTACATCCGGCAGTTCGGCTGCTCTCTCTCTCTCTGCTTGTCTATACAGAGTACAACATTTAACCCTTCAATATATATGAGCAGTAAAGAAGTGTTGCTTTCATATTCTTATATAGAGTAATGACGATATGTTTTCACATGTGCGCACTTACATACTCGCAGTCTCACTTTTTTTTTTACCATTAATGGTTAGCTACTTGTATTGTTCCATTTATTAACATTAAATAACATTACAGGTACTTGGAACAACCATATTAATTTTTTTACATTAATTTTTCTACAGCTACAATCAGGGTCTTATTTTCTTCAGTTTTATATGTAGAACCAATCAGTCACTGGTTTTGTAAGCTTTAACATAAACAATGCCGGCAGCCGTCTCGTCTCCTCGTGTGTTTTAATATTCCACGTATTATTAATAAATTGTATTGTTAATTTTGCACACACAAACATTAATTCAATAAAAACAAATTCAGAAACATTAATTAAAATATATATGAACAATAAATAAGTGTTGCTTTCATATTCTTATGTAAAGTAATGACGATATGTTTTCACGTGTGCGCACTTACATACACGATCTCTCTTTTTTCTTTACCATTATCGTTAGCTACTTCTATTGTTCCATTTATTAACATTAAATAACATTACTTAAAACAACCATATTAGTTTTACTACAGCTACAACCAAGGTCTTATTTTTTTCAATTTTATATGTAGAACCAGTCAGTCACTGGTTTTGTAATCAACGAAAACAATGCTGTGTCATTCCCTCGTGTGTTTTAATATTCTACGTATTATTAATGAATTGTATTGCTCATTTTGCACATATACACATTAATTCAATAAAAAAGACATTCAGTGATAAACAATAATGAAGCGTTTGTACAAAAGAGAAATGACGCTGTTTACACGATTATGCACGTCGTCTGCACGTTGGCGGGCCGTTCAAACCCGTCAAAATTCAAGTTTCCACCGTCAAAATTTTTTTTGTGTGTGTGTGTTCCAATAAAATACGTTAAGAATTAAAAACTCGCGAAATTTGAGAAGCTACTATACGACATTTATCCCTTCAATATGTCTTCAAAGAGACCATGATGCAGAGAAAGTGGTGCTAGTGCTTCCAAGCATAAGCACAAGTCACTATCTATCCAGGAAAAGGGTGAATTTCCATGGTCTGGTACCAGTCAGGTCCCGAGGTTGCCGGACTAGAGAGGCACAACCTGTACAAGAATGAAAAAATAGATCAAAAGTGAGAAACACGACCTAGACCTATGAATTATTATTATTATAATTTTTATTATATTTTAGACCCCCAGGCCCCAATGTGGGTCAGTGATCTATGCCCGGGTGGGCTAATACACATTAAAAAAAAAAAAATAACCATTCTGAAAACCGAAAAATTCCGAAATCCGAAATTCCTCTGGCCCCAAGGATTTCGGATAAGGGATTGTCAACCTGTACTGTATATACCATACTGTACTGCACTTCATTTTCTCCATTCTACCCTGTGTTAATTACAAATACAGTAATGGTGATCACTGATCAGTAACTGTGAAGGCAGACTTTTTTAAATAAATGTTTTATTGATTCTAGTAAAATATTGAGTTATACGTATTGGTAATCTGTTAGGCATTTTTTTCAGGTGTATATTTTCAGTGCAGTACTGTATTCATAGTTGATTATATACTAGTGCTGTACAGTAAATCTTGTCCGGTCTGTTAGACTGTGAGGTTGATGCTCCTACTCACCTTGTGGATTGTAAGTCAGTTAGGCCTCTGGTGAAAATGGTGTTAGTCAGACCCAAAATATTATATAAAGATTCATATAAGCACCCAACATTTTTTATTCTTGATATGTTAACTGAACTATCTGTTAAAAAACATAACAAAAAACAATGATTACAGTACAGTACTGTATTGACTTAAGGCAGGATTTTGACATAACAAAATAAACAGCTTACTGACACACACACACACACACACAAACATATATATATATATATATATATATATATATATATATATATATATATATATATATATATATATATATACAGTCTGCGCGGAATGTGAGATCGTGTGCTGAAAAAATATTGATATTTACGATTATGTTATATAAATAAAGTCAAGTAACACTTACCACTTCAATTAGTACTTTGTAGTGTTTCCTCTGCGCTTCAGACAGTCTTTTAGCCTTCGAAGAACACTGTCAGCAAGGTTTTGCAAGAGGTCAGGTGGCAAGTTAGCCCAGGTATCCTTGATGGCTGCCTCTAGCTTTGGGATTGATGATGTGTCAGCATCGCGCAGACGACGCTTAACAATGGACCACAAATTTTCTATTGGGTTAAGATCTGGGCTACTGCCAGGCCAGTCATTAAGGAAAGGTACCTCACAGTCTTTGAGCCACTGTATGACACTTTTAGCAGTGTGGCATGGGGCACCGTCCTGCATGAAAAGGCTTGCCTTAGCTTTATCAAATGATTCAGGTAAGAAATCACTGAGCAGTTCAAGATAGTTTTACTGATTCATTATCTGGTTCTTAGGGAGGATTACTAGTTCACCAACACCATAATACGTAAAGGAAGCCTGGACTCCATTTCAATTAATCCCATATGTTATGTTATTCACTTTACGCGTTTCGTTTCTCGCTTTCCGCGGTACCCTCCGGGTTACATTAACTGCGTAAAGTGAGGGTTAACTGTATATATATATATATACACCAAACACATCCATTAATTCAAAGCTGTTCTTTTTGTACATGTAATTAGAATTCTGATAGTATTGTACTGTATATTGGACACTTTGGAGCTATGGAAGTTATGGAAAATAAGTCATATCAACAGTAAATTTTTTTATTCTGCATGAATTAGTTATTTACCGTATATAAAGTATTTTAAGATATATAATTGTTTTGAGGTGCTGAGAGTATTTTTAATTTTTTTACTAAGGTGTCTTCAGAATCTAATTATTGTATGTTACTTGCTTTTCCTCTTGTGTGTACTGTATTATAATATTTTATGTGAGATGTTTCATCATGAGGTAACTTCTCTTTTCTACTAACTTTCTACTAAAGTGGCAATGTCCCTGCTAGCTAACACCAGACATGGTACAAAGTCAGCCACGATGACCCCCGAGACTCGAGCGCCTTCTCTTCTTATTAGGCAAGACAGTCTGAGTGGTAGGACAATGCGCAATGGAAAGAGTAAGCAGTTCATTGGAGTAGATAATTTAGTTCATTTTGAACAAACACTTTATAGTATTCAGCACATTGGTTTGCTTGCATAGCACCATCACAGTTTTCTTGCACTTAGAATGCTGTAGGATTTCTAGGAAAAAATATATAATTTAATGTTAAGGAACCATCTCTGAAGACTGAAAATTTACACAATACTGTACACTGTACAGTGCCTGGGAATGACCTCTGATGTAGTAAGGGACACTCATGTATGACACTCCCTCACACATCTTCCATTATGCTGTACCAAGGATGATCACTTTTTGAAAATGTTATTTGACAGTGGTTCATTTATACCCTGCAACAGCTTTACTTAATTTTTTCATTGTACTTGTACAGTATTTTTTCATCAGCAATTTTGTTTTACAGTGCCATTGATTTAATACGAAAAGGTTTAATTGAATAAATGACTATGCTCTTCATTAATTTGAATATTTTATATCTTTAATAATTTTATGTTGCTTATGTGTAAATAATTTTTTAAAATACAATTAGATTATGAATGAATTATGGTTAGTAGTATACATGTTTATATTGTAGACACATGTGACAGAGGCACAGACTCAACAGCTATAACTACAGTACCAGCTGGTTAAATCATGCATGAGGTTCTTTGTTACATGGTAGTGCTGCTCATGTTACTGTACTTGTTGGTAGCTGCTTGGATAGGAACACCCTCACCTGCTCAGTTCAGTTACATGATGAGTTACATCAATACAGACTAGTACAAGGTGCATGGTTTGACAGTAAAAATGTGAGAACCTTATTGCTCACATTTGAAGAATTATATTTGTTATATTCAAAATATTAATTGGAATTGAACTTCAATAATATGAGCTGTTCCGTATTTACATGTACTCGTGTACTGTATAAACCGATCTTATATGTAGTTTGACCCCTGATTTTGGGGGGAAAAGACCAAGGTTTTCATATATCTTTTGTATAATTCGACCCTATACTAGGTATAATCTTAGACATATTTCGTAGCCTGAAATTTTGTGCAAAATTACGGCTTTGGGAATGATTTTCCGAGAAAATTTCAAATCCGGCTATCAGAGAGTTCCAGTTGAGGGATTCTGGCTAATGGAGATATTATACCACTTACAACACAATTAAATGACACTCGCCACATCATTAAGAGCATGCATGGTCATCATTTCAGGTATACAGGCAGTCCCGGGTTATAAACGAGTTCCGTTCTTGGGGACGTTCTTAAGTAAAAAAAATGTACATAAGTCAAAACACATGCTGTGTGCATACAGTACTTACAGAGCAATGTTTAAAATCCCACTATACCATTGCCTAAGTCCTTATATACATTTAAAATCACTTAATTTAAGAGAAAAGAAGAAAAGAATGACCAAATACAGGAAATGAAAGTAAAAAATAAGTCAGAAGGTAAATGAAATACTGTCAATTTAAAGTTCAACCCCGTTTGTATCGGCAGATGTTTGTAATTTGGGGACTGCCTGTATTTTACTTGCCCTCAAGATTGTTGTTACCCAACCTCAGAGAGATTTTAAATTTTTTTTCGATTATTCTTCATTTGTTTCAGGTATTTATAGATTTAAATGACAAACTGTATATAGTGAATAAGGTTCTGTTCTATATGTAACAACATAAGCAATCTAAGGGTATGGTAGGCAAGCCAGGATAAAAGAGCTTATTAGTAAGGTTAGTTTACTGCAAGTATGTATATACTAGGTAGCTATTGTTCACTGTAAATGACCCACGGAAATGTATAAATTTTAACCCCTCAAAAATACTGTTTATAATGTTTAACACCGTACCTTTTGCATCAAAATTTGATAAGAAACTTAAACTGTACTCGAGTTTATATGGTACGACTTTTTCATGTCACGGCATTTTCAGGATAAATATACAATAGAATTTCTAAACCACTCGGCACTTGTACTTATCACCATGCCTATATGTGGAGGTTACCTTTTTCATATACTGTATTAATGTTACATCAATTACAGTACATGTACTGCATGTATAATTCAAGGGATGGCCAATCACAAGTACACTTACTATATTAAAGAAGACTATTTTTAGAAATGTAATTCCAGCAAATTTTAATTTGCTGACTGCAAGTATTTACTTAATTTGGTGCACATTTGCATAAATGCATATACAAGTACGGTACAGTACTTGTATGTATGTACATGCTATGTAATTTCCATTTCATAAACATGTAATCCAGGGAAATACTCGGCTTTTCACCAACTAAAATTCATAAAAGAAAAATAAAGTGTGAACTGAAACACAATATGTACTGTATTATAAATAGCAAACAATGATTTTTTTTATGCACAAAACAAGAAAATACTTGTCTGCTTGCTTGCCTGGAGTCAGGTTTAGGTGGCTAAATTAGTTTTGAAAGATTTACTGTACAACACCTTACAAAATTTATGGCAGATTTTTGAAGCACTACTGTTTGTCTCTTGAGACTTCGGGTTTGAATATTGCATGATTAAGTGTGCTTAAGGTGTATGGAATGATATACCTGTATAATATTAAATTGATAACTACAGTAGTATTATCCAGGTTGCATGTTAGATACAGTCCTTTTGTATTGTGGATTTAATTAAGTTTTTATTAATTGAGACTCAACTGTGTGTGTTAAGATTCAGACCCAGCAATATGGGCAGAACTTTCTCTGTTGTTTACTTCATGTATTTTGTCATGTAGAATGTGTGGTACATGTACTTAAACATTTTCAAAATGCTATGAAGTACAGTACTATATTTTTTAAAAGGTAGCAGCTAATATGTTGGTGTGTCACTAATGGTTTTATGATGATAGTATACTAATCCTTGTATGAAAAACAGTAAATTTATAAATGTTTACTTTTCACCCTCATCAGGATCTTTTAATTAAACATGATACTGATTGAGTTAATACTTAAAAAACTTACTGATGCTCATCTGACTTGTTGCATTAATGTTTCAGACATTGATGTTGGAGGCGTCAAGCCTCTTGTCAGTAGAACAGAGATACAGTGTGGACGGCCAGGCAACGTACGCACAAATGCTGGAAAACCCACTTACAAGTCACAGGTATTGTTTTGCCTTAGCTGGAAATAAATTGTTATTGAGTTAATATTAGAAAAGTTACAGCTTTTTACCTTTTTCATAAGTATCATGCCTAAAGAACTGTAAGAAAATTTGATTACAGTAATGAAAATTAATGCTTAGCTACTGGTATGCAGTACGGTACTGTATTATGAATGTGAATAAATTTATTTAGATTTTTTAAATTGAAAATTTTATATGTATTGATAAGATTATTTTTTTCTAGGAAGAACAGTATCAGGAGATTCAGGAGCTGCGGCGTGACCTTGGGGAGTTACGTGTGGAGAACTCCAGTTTGAAGACTCGGAGCAGACGCCTTGAAGAAGATCTTTTACGTCGTGATCGTCAGATAGAGCAGCTGATGGATCCAGCTAAGGTTTGTATAGACTACAGTTTGAACTCTTATGCATTTTGATCTGACATAGCATCTTGTTTATTTTGAAGCTTCTACATTTATAATAGTTTTGTTATGGTTGCAGTACAGTAGTATCCTGATGGGGTAGTGCCATACACCTGGGGATAAAAAAGTTTCTATAATTTGCACAAGACACAAGTGGAAGGTTCTTTGTTGGTCTAAGTACACAAGTCGCCTGACTCATTCTCATTATAATAAGGAATTTCAGGATCAATATTTTATTTAGATTTAAACTGCAGTATGTAATTTACAATAAGGCTTATCTTTCTTATTGTGTAACAAGTGTCTGCTCCAAATAGTTCAAATGTGTGAGGTTAACCTAGGATGGGGATCTTACTGCCTTGGCTAAAGCCTCATGTCAGAATTTCCACTGTTCAGGGTTGTTCAATGCAATAGATAATCCAATAAAGTGTTGTATTACTGAATTTTCTTTTAACAATTTGGGTATTACCAGATTTTGTTTATATACATTTTTTTTAATTAGGTATGGGATTCATTGTAGCATGTATTGATCAATTTGTCCTTTGGGTGCCCTGTCAATGTATTTTTCCCAGCATATAGTTCCACAAGTTGTATGTGCTATTGGTAGTACAGTGGTAATGTATGCATCTATCACTAGTCAAGGGTTCGAGTCCTGCTTGACCCCGATGCATATGAGAAGTGTTATCCAATATGACCCTACCAATCATCACAGGTTTCCCAGATTTCAGTTTCCTCCTGTACTGATACTGGACAGATCAACTGCCCGAATGACTTGTAACCTGATAAGTGGTGAAATGATCACAAAAATAAATTAATTGTGGCATCTCCAGAACAACTGAACTTACTGTATTGTCAAAAAGTAAAAGTGTGGCCTCTGAGGTAGAGCAGCTAATGTTTGTCCAAGAAATTTCAAACAATAAAAACATGGCAGTCCAGGGCCAGTCAAATTTGAGTATTTTTATTGACTACATCTATAAGACTAACATATTTTTTGAATAGGCATTTCAGTTTGGGCAAATATCTATTAAATACATCTTACCCAAAATGTATATTCATTTGCTCACTAGGTTTTTATTGAAAATTAACCCTTTGCAAAATTGTATACTCCAGTATGCATACATGATAGCTAATTCTGAATTAGAAAAACAATGTTGATTTTATACAGGTCTTTAAATTTCATTGAATGAAACAAAAACATCTCAGTTGGACATATGGAGGTAACTAGATGTTCACTTTTCCTTGATGTTTAGATACTGTACTCTGTACCTTTTTATGTTGAGCACTGAGTTAGGTGATGAACCAGCTTCCTTCAGGTGAGTAATCACAGCACATGTTGGCCTATTTCATTTTTTGTACTTATTTCAGACAAAGTTTTCTGGATTTTGTTTGATCAGAATCATTCAGGAAAATGCATGACTTTCAGTGTTGTTGCTTGATGCACTAGAGTTTGCAAGAAATACACAACCCATTAAAGTGGTCAATTTTTGAAGGTAATGTGAGCTGACTAAACGTATAAAAATATTTAATTAATTAAATTGTAAATTTCTTGCAACTCTTTCTCAAGATGAAAAAATAATAATACTGCCCTTGTGTGTTGTGTGTGTGGTTTAGTTTCCACTAACCCTGCAGAATGATGAGGCTCGGAGAAAGCTAACGGACAAGGGGGCCTCTCTTGTGTCGAGCTTGAAGCTAAGGGTATCGCGCCTGGAGGCTACTTTGAAGGAAAAGGAGGCTGAGCTAGGAAAGCTTCAAGCTTCAACCAAGGCAACAGCTTTAAATGAAATGAAGATTGAAGCAGAAACTTATTACCAGGAGGTGAGAGTAATGGGAATATTTTTCTTTGTTTCAAGTTACAGTATAGAGCTGATGTCATCTATAATGATCATTGATGATTTTGTTTTTCATCTGACTTGAGTCAAATTACAAGTTCCTGGATATTAACCCTTGGTAGACTGGGTAGGGTGGGCCCAGGTGACCCCACCCTACAGGGATACCATTTTGCTATTTATGATTTTTATCACCTGGCTCTCCATGACTTTGTTTACTTGTGGTCACTTTATAAGCCCACAAATGTTGAACAAAAAGGTCATACTGATTAGGAGCAACAGGGCAACAAACTTCACGGGGTCTGCTTGGACCCCAATTGGTTTTCTGGGTCACTAATTTGCTTAAACTTTTAACTCGTTCAGTTGTTTACTGTTGATAGAAATAATTTTCCTTCATATTTTTGTGATGGAAATTATTTGTGATAAGCAGTCAACAGGTAGCTTTATACCCCCCCAAGGAAAAAAAAAATTCTTAGTTGTTTTGAGCAACATGGAGGTGATTTTATTTTATTTGGATGTCAGTACTGTACTGTAAAACCTTGAGTTAATGGACTAATGGAGACGAAAGGTGGGCTAATCCACATTAATAATATCTGATGACAACTCATATATTGAACACCATTAAAAAATTCAGTAATCCCTGCTGGAGACCAAATTTAAATACTGTGCAGTACAGTATATGCTAGCAAGCAGGTGTGCTCACTCATGGGGCCATCTATTGAGGGCGGGGAATCTACATTTTCATCAGCTGATCAGCTGTGTTCATTTGATATTTATCTATTATACCTTTAGAAAATTCTTTAATGATGCATTAAAAAATTTAATGCTTCTCTAAGAAATGAAACATTAAAGGTACAGTATATTTAATGTTCTTACACTAAAGGCAATGAGGATTTACTACAGCACCGTAAATACTAAAGACAGATGACCAGTGAGGAGTAAAGTAAACACTTTTTAAGACTTTTTCTCACTTTAAAACTTCCTGTACCAGTAATTCCTTCATTTCAAAATACTTTAAATAATAATTTTCCTTGAGTCTAAACAAATGTTTCTTGGTCTGTCATTTTTCAGACTCAATATGACTCAGAATGAAGTTTTTTGCACAGCTCAATGTGGACTTTTGTTAGGAATACCACACAGACATTATTCGTTGGATGGTGGTCCATTAAATTGAGGTTTTACTGTATACTGTACCTATATTTGTTACCAGAACTTTTTTATTGTATTCAGAGCCTGTAGCAAGAATGTAATTTTTTGTATTATTTTGCTTACGTTATTAAATATATACAGTGGGGTATGCTATAACGAACGTAATTGGTTCCAGAACCTCGTTCGTTATAGCATTCGTTCGTTATAGGATTAATCCGTTCCAGGCCCCCAAATACAACCACTTAACACTGGAAAAATTCTGTGGAAAATGTAAAAAATACGGTACTTTATCTTACCCTAGTGTTATTCAGCATGCAGGTACCCCTAAACACTGGCACATCACTATCACCTCCACTGGGAGTCTTGGCTTTAAGGTCCTCAAACAATTGTCTGGCCTTCTCACAAATTATAGCTTCACTAATGTTACCACCTGCCATTTCTTTCTCCTTTATCCACACTAAGAGTAAATTTTCCATCTCTTCAATCACATTACACTTTGCTTTGCTAAGTCTAAAGATTCCCTTAGCCACTTGCACAGTTTTTAACTCCTCGTTATTCTTCAAAATCGTACATATAGTCGATTTAGCCATCCCATACTCATCACTAAGTTTCGCAATGCTTCTTCCATTCTCACGTTTCTTTATAATTTCTTTCTTAGTTTCAAGGGTTATTAGCTTTCTCACTCGCTTTGGACGACTCATTGTTACAATTGTATACTTGTATAACAAAATAGTTATACAAATAACGCGAATTTCCACAACAAAAGACGAAATTTCAACAATAACAGTGGTGCACTGGCTACACAATGAGACAAAGATGGCGCCTGACGCTCTTGTTGTGGGTCGCGGTACAACAATATTCATGCGCCAGGCGAAATAGTCCCGTATTCATCCGCGTTCGTTGTAGGAGTTGCGTTCGTTATAGCATTCTCAATTTTATAAGTAAAACCGTTCGTTATAGGAATATTCGTAGTAGGATCCGTTCGTTATAGCATACCCCACTGTACACAGGCATTCGCTGATTTACGTCGTGCTAAACAACATTGTTTCAATAAAAAGTCATTTAATAATTAGTGGACAATATTTGATATAAATTGCTGAATGAGGTCTGATACTGTACTGTACTGTATGGCATCGTTTTGAATCTTGAGTTCACTACTGGTGTTGCTCCGTGGATTATTTTTGAGACCAACATATAAAAAACCCATCACCATGCTGGGGAAATGTCCTACAAACAGTCCTGATGGTACTCTCCCCAAGAAATCACATCTTTCCATCAGTTTAGATGTGAATATTCAGGGAGTGTAGAGTCTGGAGAGACAAAGGCAGAGAATAGACAGCCTGGGTAGGAGAGTGACCTTGACAGTGATGTTACCGAGGAAAGTGATGTGCCTTTGGACATACTTATACTTGGTTAGTTTAAGTCTGTGATTTTTTTTTTAATTTTTTAAGTGATGCTTGTTATAGAAAAGTAGAGAAAAATAATTATTTGGCATGGCTCGTGGTTTGGCAATCGGGCTGCTGCTCGTGAGTGACGTCACAGCTTCACTCGGGTGGAAGGACCTCCGCCACTCTCGTGAGTGACGTCACAGCTTCACTCGGGTGGAAGGACCTCCGCCACTCTTCAGGATGCTCACCTTGTAGTGATATATATTTTTTTTATGTTATTATTTGTTTAATAAACGTTGATTCACAGATGTCATTTATTTTTAACCTGTACATAATATTAGTATGCTATTATAACAACGTTAGTAATCTGCTTTGGCTCATTCTTAATGAGAGAGAATACTCAAGTGAAAAAATTAGGTTAGGATGACTGAAAACTTTATTTATTTTAAGCCTACACGGTACTTCAGTGTGTTATATACTGTACACTTTAACATATCATTTATCTTTTCAGGGATGGATTCAGGGGGGGTCCTGGGGATCACCCCCCTTTTTACCAGAAATTTCTGATACTGTACTTTTTCTTTAATGCAGTGTTGTACTCAGGCTTTTTGTATAGTAAAAAGTAATTACTATTGACCTCAAGATATATCCTAATATCAAGTGCACATGGTCTTCAAAATGGCCTCAAAAGGCCCCTAATATTGCCCCCCAAAACCCCCCAGCTGGGTGGGCTCATTGTGCTCCCTATGTTTCCTTGGACTCCCCCCCTTTCCCCTTGATATTCCTGGATCCGCCCCTGCTCTTTAACTTAATAGTTTGCTCTGGTTCGTGCTAATTAGAGGTGCACTAAAATGGTTAGGGTGACCGTAAATGTCCCCTGGAAATATAGTGTCTAAATAACATCTCACCTTTATGGAATGTAACTACGACATAAATCAGCGACTCACTGTAAATAAATTCATCCAAAGAGACACCAGGTGGATTGCTTCCACATAAGGTGTCCTGGGCAACATATGTACAAAGACTAATGTATATAATTTTGTGCATATAGCAGAAATCCACCTTAAAAGTTTGGGGTTTGCATGGACCCCACTTGGTCTACGGTGCTAGTAAACCCCGCCCAGTCCACGAAGGATTAAAAGTATAATTGCAGAGTTCCCAACTAGACTGGGATTTATGAAAAAATATCACACTGACTTGGCAAATTAAGGAAGTACTGAATATTTGCTTAAAGTGATGATGGGATGTTAGTCTTTATAGTACTGTATGTGTACAGTTGGTTATACAGTACAGTAAAGCCTCGAATAACGACGGTAATGTGTCTTCCAATATTGCAGTGTAAGGTGAATCATTGTATCATGAATCATTAATTACCATTAAAATAAAGCAATAATAATGAGATGCATTCCCTTGTTTGACCTTTTCATATCTTTTGTGTGGCTTTTTACCCTCTTTTCCCCAAAACATTAAAATTGATGAAAATGCAAACTATATTCATTAAATAATGTTTATGAATGCACCATAATTTTATACAATATAAATCAATATGGTCACACAAGAGATGGGATGCAATTGTTGTTATCAGTGTTTACATCCATCATGACAGTTCTTCATCTGAAACTGAAGAAAATAAGACCCTGGTTGTTGTTCTAGTAAAATTAATGTTATTTAATGGAAAGTAGAAGTAACCACTAGTGTTAAAGAAAAAAAAGTAAGAGACAGATAGCGGAAGGCCAATGTATGTATGCGTGCACTCATGGAAACATTGCATCATTTATCTTATTAAGAATATGTACAAAAGATTCAATATTGTTTATTACTGAATATCTATTTGATTGAATTAATGTTTGTGTATGCAAAATGAACAATACAATTCATTAATAATACGTAGAATACTGTATTAGAACACTCAAGAGGAGACGAGACAGCATTGTTTTTGTTAGTGTTAACACCCATTATGATGGTTATAAAACTGAAGAAAATAAGACCCTGGTTGTAGCTGTAGTAAAATTAATGTAAAAAAATTATATATGTTTTAGTTAATGTTATTTAATGTACAGGTGAAGTAACCACTGATGGTAAAGATAAAAGTTAGATGGATTGTGCAAGGCCATGTTATGTACGTATGCACACATGAAAACATAGCATCATTTCTTGACATAGAATATGAAAGCAACTCTTATTACTGTTCATGCTTCTGAATGTAAAACAAAAATTCTACTCATCAATAATGGCAAAGTCGAAAACTTAAGGGTACAGCCAATGTTGTCGTAAATTTGCGAGAAGGTGAGGTAGGGGTAATCTGTTGGTGTGTTGTGTTCCGATCATGTCCGTTTAAATAGCATTAGTTCTTCATTTGTTAGGTCTTCTCCATCACTGTTTAATAGCTCCTGAGCATTCTCCTCATCAAGTGGCCTTTATTAATTTTTTTCTTCATTCTTACTGATAGTTT